TGGAGGATGGAAATGGGTCTGCAGTCTGTAGGAAACAAGAACGAAAGAAGGCAAACACCCTGGCAGTGGTGGTTGGAGTTTTCCTCATCTGCTGGACCCCTTTTTTCCTCTGCAATATTATGGACCCCTTCATTGGCTATTCCATCCCACCCACACTGACTGATGCCCTGGTTTGGTTTGGTTATATGAACTCGAGTTTCAATCCTTTGGTTTATGCTTTTTTTTACTCTTGGTTCAGAAAAGCTTTGAGCATAATTCTCAGTGGCAGAGTCTTTTACAGAGATTCTTGTCGAATGAAATTGTATTCTGAATGAATGCATTTATTGACTATGCAGATACTTCTGTTACTCTTTAATCAGCTGACTTCTGGCGTTTTCAGCCATTATAAAAACTTAATGCATCTTATTACCCCACAATGTTTAAATTATAACCATCTGTACTTAGAACTGTGTTATATTGGGAAGCTGAATTAAATGTCTTGCAAGTGAGTGATGTACAGTATTGCTAGAAAAGTACACTTGGAGCTATCAAGATAACGAAAGCTTTCAAAAAACATCTCCAAAAAGGTCTTGGATCCATATCTGAAGACTAAATACATAAAACAAGCTGTTTTAAAATGAAACAGAGCTATTTCATTTGGTCACCATCTTTGCAGAATACATATGGTTGATAGTTGAGTGATTTCTTTTTACTTGTATTTTTTATATTTGTGTTTATATGCTGACATGAATCTTTGGGCTGTAGATGTGTAGCATAATCATAGAGAGGCACTGGGGCATATAAAGATCCTCAGTACAGATTTACTGACACACTGTGAAACACTGTGAAAGACTCAGTGGCTGACAGAGTAACCACATCATATTTGGGCCCTTCGGTATCTCCCTTAACCCCAACTGCTGCAAGGACCCAACATTAATGCCTAAGACCATCCTGTGACCCCACCCTGTACTCTCACCTGTACGTGTGTCTCAAAAGATATGGGATACATATGAAAATCAAAGAACTCCTAAGCACCTACACTTAAACTTGTACATATAAGTATCTTATTATTTAATGTTCCTGAGTAATGAGGAAACACTGATTGATATAAACTGACTTATAGATGTATGCAGTATCTGAAATTTGTATGTATTTTTGCATTTAAAAAAGGGGGATTTTAAGATGTATAGGATACATGTAAAGTGGAACTGGGGTGTTTAACGACCCCCTATGGCACCTTGACTGACTCCCTGTAAAACTGTTATTAATAATTTGTACCCTAATCTCAGAAAGTGCTGTATTATCATAAGCACATTGTACTCTTACTTCATATTACCCTTATTAAAATTTACTCGCTGCCCCTCTGGTCTGTCAGTCCGTCACCTACGTCATCCGGACTCTGTCCTTCTCAGTTTGCTTTATTTTTTCAGAAGTTTCTTTATAAATGAAAACTACATTCAGATTTCTTGTTTTACCTTCGCTAGGCCTTCAGACCTTGAGTCCCACGAGCTTCTCTAATAGCTCACCCCCCATGAAGGATGTACACAGAGAAAC